ACACACACACACACACACACACACTGCACCCCTGACACTCACAGCACCCTCACTCTCACACACACTGCAGCCCTGAGACTCACAGCACACACACACTGCACGCACACACACACACACACACACACACACTGCACCCCTGACACTCACACACACACACACACTGCACCCCTGACACTCACAGCACCCTCACTCACACACACACTGCACCCCTGAGACTCACAGCACACACTGCACACACTCACACACACACACACACACTGCACCCCTGACACTCACACACACACACACACTGCACCCCTGACACTCACACACACACACACACACACTGCACCCCTGACACTCACACACACACTGCACCCCCACACTCACACACACACACTCCACCCCTGACACTCACACACACACACACACACACTGCACTGCTGACACTCACAGCACACACACACTGCACCCCTGACACTCAGCACACACACACAAACACACACACTGCACCGCTGACACTCACAGCACACACACACACACTGCACCACTGACACTCACAGCACACTCACACACACACTGCACCCCTGACACTCACAGCAGACACACACTGCACCCCTGACACTCACAGCACACACACTGCACCCCTGACACTCATAGCACACACACACACACTGCACCCCTGACACTCACAGCACCCTCACTCTCTCTCACACACACACACACACTGCACCCCTGACACTCACAGCACCCTCACTCACACACACACACCGCACCCCTGAGATTCACAGCACACACACACTGCACCCACACACACACACACACACTGCACCCCTGACATGCACAGCACCCTCACTCACACACACTGCACCCCTGACACAGCACACACACATTCACATCCCCCTCACTCACACACACACACTGCACACCTAACACTTACAGCACCCTCACACACACACACTGCACCCCTAACACTTACAGCACACACACACACTGCACCCCTGACATGCACAGCACACACATACTGCACCCCTAACACTTACAGTACCCACACACACACACACACACACACACTGCACCAGCTTCCTCACACACACATAGCACCCTCACGCAAACACAGCACCCAATCACACACAGCACACACACACAGCACCCTTACCCACATAGCACCCTCACGCAAACACAGCACCCATCACTCACATACTACACACCTCACACACACTGCACCCCTCTCGCACACACACTACACCCCTTACACACACACACAGCACCCTCACACACACTGCACAAATGCTTTCCTAGCATTTTTGTCTCCTGGTATCCCACCTATGGAGACACCAGAGACAAATTTCAAGCAAACACAGTGCAAGTATGTTATTGAATTTGCTTGCGTTGTGCAGAACAAATACAGGGTCCTTTTCTCATGTCAGAGCTCTTCAGCAGAGCTTTGCGCATGGTCTACCCTGGAAGAGCATTGAACCAACATGCTCACTTTGTGATGGGGCGTGCTTGTCATTGGTGATGACAAAACACACCCTATCTGGCCCCGCCCCCTTTGTAGTGGGCCGCTGTAATTAAAAAATGCCCGGGCCGAATTATCTTCCCAGTCCGGCCCTGGTGTAAGGGATGCAATGTGTGTTTTTGTAATGGATGCATAGTGTGTTTCTGTGTGAGTGTAGGATGTATTGTATGTTTCAGTGTGTGTGTGTGTGTGTGTGTGTAGGCATGCATTGTGTGTTTCTGTGTATGTGTAATGATGCATTGTGTATGTGTGTAGTGTCTTAGTGTCGTCCCCTTACCTCCTGTCCCTTAGTGCTCTTCCCCACCACCCCCCCCCGGCAAGGCAGATAGTGACTCACTCAAAATTAGATTTTGACCCCAAGCAAGTACAATACACATTTCAATATCATTGGATATATACCCTGTGGATTACCTAGCCTAGATCAGAGGTTGAGATAAGGCATACTTATGGAAACAATAAGTGACCAACCCGTTGTGTTCCAGACCAGCATCAATCCAAATGGAGAAATCTTTGGTTCTATCTCCTCTTTTGTACTTGCCACCGAAATAATCATTGCATCTATGGATTTGTTACCATTTTTCTATTCCATAGATATGTCACACTTCTTGTGAACCTGCACCACCTGTCCCTTAGTGCTCTCCACTGCCCTCCTGACCCTTAGTAATCTCCCGTCCCCTGCTGTCCCTTAGTGCTCTCCCTGCCCCCCTGTCCCTTAGTGCCCTCCTCTGTCCCCTCCTTGTTCCCAATAGTGCTCTCTCTCCCCCCTATCCCTTAGAGTTCTTCCCCTCTTTGCTCTTGGTCTCTCCATCACCCCCATCTGTCCCTTGGCAGTCTCTCCTCCCTTCCCCATCTTTCCCCTAGTGATCTCTCCCCCCATTCCTCCTAGTCCCTTAGTGGTCTCCTTCCTCCCTAGTAGCTTTCTACCCCCTCTTTAGTGGTTCCCCCGTTAGTAGTTTCTCCCCCACTAGTGGTCTCTTCCCCCCCAGTGGTCTCTCCCATCTGTCCCTTTGTGCCATCTCCCCTCCCTTCCCTGTTGTGCCTCCTATCTCACTGTAACATGGTCAGGTGGCGTGGACTGCGGTGCAGGAGCTTGTGTTTCCTTTACCCAGCTGGACTGACAGGAAGTGCTCACTGAGAGAGCAATCTCCTGTATCGCGGATCATGCCGCCCAGCCACGCTACACAGAGTGACGGGCAGGAGGACTCCTGCCAAGTCACTCGAAACTGCCTAAGTCACCTATATGGCGCGGCGGCCCTGTCTGACATCATGTATGGTGGATATGCCGGTCAATCCTTCTTCAACTATTAAGTATGGTTTGCAGTAAGGTTGGACCTTTTCCACTATTTCTAACATATCCAGGCACCGTGGGCTGCCACCAATGTGCCATCAATGAAAGAAAGGCATTATGTCTAGTAGGAGCACTCAATAAATATAGGAAATCAGGCGGGTAATTTTATTAGATAAACACAAAAAGAATTCAGCGCTAGTAATCACAAAATTAGTCAAGGTAGGCAGCAACCCAAATGAAGGAAAACCCCTCGGGTCCTTCGGTGGATAGATACAAAAAGATATGGAAGGGCTGCGCCAAATAAGGGTAGATAGTCCAGTGAAGTATTGCTAGGGTGCCAATAGATGGTCTAGGATACTTGATAGAGTTCCTCTGTGGATGCGTCTAGTGTAGACCGTTCCGTATATGTAAATACAAGAGAGGTAGAGGCGACTAATGGTATAGTATGAAAGTTCAGGGTGTGATAGGTAACAAAAAGTAAAGAACTCACATTCAAGAGAGCTATGGCCAGCTCTGGTGTGGATTGCGTACAGCGGTATAATCCCCACTTATGGGATATGTAGGGAGGGGTCTCCGCCAACACCGTCTGGTAGTCCAGAGCTCGAAAAAGAAAGACAGAAAGCAACAATAGTGCTCTCAATTTTGATGTGGTTCAATGTGCAGATAAGAAGAGGTAAAAAACTCACATTTGAGGGAGCTATGGCCAGATCTGGTGTGGATAGCGTACAGCGGTATAATCCCCGCTTATAGGATATGTAGCGGCGATACGTCCGTCAGCACCGTCTGGTGATCCAAGGCTCCAATATAGAAGAATAAAAGCAGCAATAGTGCTCTCAATTGTGATAGGTTAAGAGAGTAGTAGAGAAAATAAAATAATACTCACAAAGATAGAGCAGAGGTACTGCTCTATGGATAGGCGCTGGTGGTATGATCCCCACCTAGGATTTCTTGGAGTACTGGAAATTAGTACTCCATTGCTCCCTCAAATGTGAGTTTTTTACCTCTTCTTATCTGCACATAATTGAGAGCACTATTGTTGCTTTCTGTCTTTCTTTTCCGAGTTCTGGACTACCAGACGGTGTTGACGGAGACCCCCTCCCTACATATCCCATAAGCGGGGATTATACCACTGTACGCAATCCACACCAGAGCTGGCCATAGCTCTCTTGAATGTGAGTTCTTTACTTTTTGTTACCTATCACACCCTGAACTTTCATACTATACCATTAGTCGCCTCTACCTCTCTTGTATTTACATATATGGAACGGTCTACACTAGACGCATCCACAGAGGAACTCTATCAAGTATCCTAGACCATCTATTGGCACCCTAGCAATACTTTACTGGACTATCTACCCTTATTTGGCGCAGCCCTTCCATATCTTTTTGGGTAGTTTTATTAGCCTACTTTTTTGATATGGCCATGGAATAAAAATCCAATAAAATATTAAATAGTTGGCTGGTAGACTCTTTCTTGGAATGATGAGGAGTCCTAATGTTCCCAAACTGCCTCTGTCGACGACTGTCACTATTCTCAATATACACTGCTTTAACTAAGAGTGGTAGAACTGGAGAAGCTATTGTTGTGGCTGCTCCCCCTTTTTAAAATCGCAAACATTATACTGGTTACACCCTGCCCTACATTTGTGTTGAAAAATGGTTGCTGTTTGGTGGATTTATTACTACTGTAATGTTATTGTGTAATGTTATTGTGTAACGACACTGCACACAGTTTGCTACAGTGCACAGTTTTTTGACACTGCACACAGTTAAAGAAAAATATTACTTTACAAACTGGTTCTTAATCTTCTATGATGATGTACCCAGCCTGCAACACTGTACAGCCACATAATGCCAAAATGGGTAGGGTTCAAATGTGCAGTAAACTACAGCAACACATTGAGATATTACTGAGGGAAGAAGCTTGCCATTTGCCAAACACAACCACACTGCAAATCAAATGTGTCGTATCAGTATCTACCAACTGCATGTGAGGAACTGGCAGGCACTGCCACAGTGCAAGAATCAGTCAGTGTAACACTACATACCTGGTCCTCATGCCAGCCGAGGTCCTCTGGTACTGAAGATTCCAAAGTGTTACTGCCATTTGCTCAGCCTGAAATGTAAGGGAAATAATGCTGCTCTTGTTGCCTCACTTCCAGTTCTAATTGGTCCACGTTAGTCTGGCCTCCCATTCATGTACATTTTGAGGTCACAGACATGACATGGACCAGTCAAAATACACCAAATAGTATTAAAGCTTCTCTGACCCTACTTGCTGCGCCTTATCCTAGTTCCTTGCTACATAGTGTTATCGACCATGGCTTTGTTCTTGACCCTGAGTTTATTTGTGACCCTTTCCTATCCTGTTTAGATTACTGATTGATTTACCATGTACCTGACTTCAGCTAGTTCTTGCTTTAGCTGTCTCTCTTGTACCCTGACCTAGGTTTGCTATTAACTATGTTTCCTTTTTATAGTTTGTTAATTCAGACCACGCTAATGCCCAGTTGTCATGGCAAGGGTGCATAATTCATTGTTGCAGTATAGAATATTGCCATTTAATGTAATGCATAAATGAATTGGTTACCTGGTAGAGGTGGTATAGCCAATTCCAAAAGGGATTCATTTGATTGTATGGGAGGTCAGAAGGTTTACAACCCAAATTCCTCTTTGAAGCTAGGAAGCCCAACAGAACTACTCTGCAAGGTGTGAAAGTCCACACGTGAGCTGCCTGTATGTTTAGTTCCAATGTAAACTAACTAACTTTGACCATTTGGCTTGAAACTCTTAATTGATAGTTAATTTCTTTGATATGTTAATGGCCATAAGCCTTCAAGAAAACCCTTGCATTCCAGTATCATATCCAAAAGAAACATTAATACTTACCCACAGATTAATAATTAAGTCTAATTTTTTTTAATATTTAGAATGGGACAAGCACAATCTTCTAATCAAGCCTAAACATGATTTGTGTAACTTAAGCCATTTGGGAAGGTATTGAAATGTCCGCTATATTGGGTCACAAGTAGTGACATATCTATGGAATGGAAAAATGCTAACAAATTCATAGATGCAATGATTATTTTGGTGGCAAGTACAAAAGAGGAGATAGAACCAAAAGTTTCCATTTGGATTAATGTTGACCTGGAAGGTGGTAGTCACTTATTGTTTCTATAGGTACGCCTTATCTCTAACTCTGGGCCAGGCTTAGCAGTCCACAGGGTATATATCCACAATCCACAGGGGCCAAAATCTAATTTTGAGTCACCATCTTCCTTGCCACAGACTCCCTGGGCAGAAGTTTTACTTTAAAAACCTAAGTGAGTAAGTGATTAGGACTTCTGTTATTTTATCTTTTTTGTTTTTATCTGTTGTTGGTGTAAATAATTTGATTGCTATCTATATTTTTGTATGCACTGTGACTATTTTTTTCT